GGAGGGCAGGGGACTCACGCTGGTCTTGACAAGCCGTCTTCAGTTCATGGGACTGTTCATCCATGCAGGGCTTTGTTGTTAGCAGTGGTAACCCAGATTAGTGAAAGGTTCACACCTCTGCACAGTTCCTGTAGGCATGGTTTGCCAGTTTTATAGAAAGCTGATAAGAAAGTTCCCTTGGGTCTGATAAGCTGCCTCCATAGGAGAAATTGTTTCAAATTGCCTGCTTCACTGTCACTTTTGTAAATATCTGATCCTCGCTCCATCTGGCACTGAATTTAAAAAATACGGCATCTAACCAGTTCTCAGATTATCAGTCTAACAAACAATAAGTAGTGTGATAATTACTGATGTTTTTTCTCCAAATAAAAGAGCTTGTTCCATGAAGGAGCCTAGAAAACATCCCATGGTAGGGGACACTTTTCCTGCCTTCTCTATACCCAGAGTGCCTTTTTCCTGTTTCTTTTCTCTCCTCCTGGTCTCCAACCAGCACATTTCAAGACCCAACCTCAGAATTTGGTGGGTGTTGCAGACCTGCCTGTGGCATAGTCCTTCCATGTGAGGGGTGGGAAATCCTCATCTGAGCCTAAGACTGAGCAAGTGAGGAGAAGAGGAAGAAACCTCTGCATAGCTGATCCCCAGGATAGGAAACTTTGCTCTCTGGGAATTTGAAAGCCTACTACCAACCTGGATAGAGCTGCTGCCAGCACTGCTCTGCATTACAGTGAAAAACATTGATGCTCCCAGATGACATACCTGGGCCATTTCACCACCATGGCCTTCAAAACACTTGCAAATTCCTCCACAAACCTCTTAGTCTTTGGTGGTCTCCTGATACAAGAAGCCTAGTAGTCTACTGTCTGGTGCACTTTCACAGAGCAAAGGTATTAATAAGAAGACTTTAGATTAATGCCAGCAAGGTTATCCTTTGGGGTTTTTCCTTTACACTGAAGAAATGAAACACTGCAGTTTCACCTCAGCCTGCCAAAGGGAGCCTTTATACAAAATTCAAGCCATTGAACTCAGGCCATCCTCACAGTCTTATCTCAAAACCCAGCAGCGAGACAGGAAAACCTTTTTGGAGGTAAACATGTAGCTGTCCTTATGACTAAGATTATCAAGAATATTCACAGCTACTTCTGCAGTGCTTCTATGTACAGATCTTTGCTAGGGATGAAAAAACCAACAAATATATCCATTTACCTTGGCAAAAAAAGTCACTGCAATTCCATAAGAAAGAGCAGACATCCAACCTGTTACAGTATGCTAATGCCCCACAACTTATGCTGTTTCTGCATCTGTAATACAAACTGGGCACAGTGAAGGCTTTGGACGGGAAGGATTTGGGGTTGGAATCCTTTTCAAACAGAATATTCATTAGAAGGTATCCAGGCAGTCACGCTATTTCCCCATTTGTCATCAAATACATAAGGAAAAATCCCTCATCTGCAACTTTCCCTTGCTTTCAAAATTCAGAGCAAGTTGCACATGTAACTTAGCACAGCACAGCTTCTTTGCTTTGCTCTGAACGAACAACACCATGAATGCGATTTTACCAGTGTTATAGCACATTACTACAGAATTTGCACCTACTTGATTAAGCAGCAGTGAAAAATCTTGCACACTTTTTTAACCCAAATGGATGGCATATAAATTAATGCAGCCCACGGGGCACTCTAAGTAAAATGATTCATGTTCCTTACATGGCAAATATTAACAGAGATTTTTTTTTTTCATCACTTTAGTAAACAATCTTTGGGGAGTTTTGCTGCGAGTCTAATCTGTATTTAATTTAGTCATTTGAAAATTACACGCACAAGCTTTGTGAAAACTCTCTTTAAAATGCAGCTAAGTGTGTTGTTTACCTTAATACTCAAACAGCGGCCAAGTGAAGCATTTGTTGTACTCTGGCCTCATTCTGTAAATGACTAAATGCATAAAACCAAGGTTCTGGATCCAGCTCACTGTAAGATTGAGCTCTTTATTAATTCCTTCTTTACCATTTTCATATATTTGCTGAAAAAGCTTTGTTGCAAGTTTCCCTTAAAAAAAATCTCTCAAAGTTGTTAGATATGACAGCTTTAATAGCATACAACAACATTAAGGGGAAAATGCTGGACAAAGTCTAGGTATTACAGCAAAGAAATTCTCCCTTTGTTAAATGATGGAAGAAAGTTTAAAAAAAAAAGAAAAAACAAAGAGAATGCCCAGCACGGTGCAGTGGAGGTTTGCAGTACTGCAACTGCTCCTTTAAATTAAACACTGAAATGATGACTAAATTAGATTTTGAGTTTTCAGAGGCAAGATGCCTGGAAAAGTATGGCAAAAAGAAAACAAAATATATGGGATGAGTTAAAAATAAAAACAACAGGCCTTGCAAATAAGCCCACTTCAAAATAATATAATCGAGGTCAAGGGGAGAACTTCTGAATATATTTTTCCGATTAAAAAACCAAGATGAATCATGAATATATGCCTGCCTGACTGAAAATGCAGCCTGCTAAAATGGCTGAGTCTCATTGGGGCTGCATTTAAATCCTGCTAAGTATTAAGAAATGCCTAAATAATGGACAGAGTTCAGGGGAGCATAATACATCTTGTTATAAAGAGCACCTGCTGAGACCATACTGGCCTACAGTTTAAACATTTTCTACAATTAAAATACCTAAATCTAGAGGCCACCTGTTTCCTGCCTTTGCCTTTCTCAAGTGCCAGAGGTTTTACTGTAAACACAGGTGAGCAAAATAAGATGCTGCCTGATGTTAGGGGACTCGAGGAATTTGCACAACAGCTGAAGTCCCGGACAGCCACTTTTTGACTCCCAGCCCCTCAATTAAAACTGATGAGAGAAGCAGTATCCTCTCTTCCTCTCCCAGTGGCAAGACACTTACACAAGAATTCCCACACCAGGCTGGGACAGCGGCTATCCTTCCAGCAGCTTGCATTTGACAGTAACCAGTACCAGATGTTTCAGCAAAGGCATAATAAAATGCGGAGAGTAACTGAGGAGAAAACTACTCATTTTTTCCGAAATTCCCACTGGTCCCTGGGCAACATACATATCCTGGGACAGACTGTGCCCCAAGAAACTGGTCTGGCTGTTCAGAAATTTGTCAAAAAGCTGTCCAGATGGCAACTCTGAATTCATTGCTGACTAGTAAAACTGAAAAGTTGTGGACTGTCCTTAGGGTAGGACCCTTAAGAGAGGTTGGATTCCCATTTTAATTTTAGCCTTAACTGTGAAAAGTAAAGAAGGTAAAACATTTTCAGAAATTCTAAAACGTTTTTTTTCTAAGTAGACATATTGCTGTTAGGTGAGCAGGAGTCTTGAAGGCTGGAAGTAGAAACCGGAAAATACATCTGCAAGCACAATCTTTCTTTGATGACACTGGCACACCAATTAATACCACCTGGGAACCAGGTCCTGCTCATCAAGGTCAGTCACTCAGTTGTCAGCCCAAGATACCAACCAAACAGCCAGTCTGGTAGCCCAGTAAGATGCAACTCAGAAAGATCTGCTTTTGAATATTCCCAATAGCACATCAGTCCCTGGAAGAGAAGCCTCCACATCAGGAAGCCCTTGCTGTCAAGCACCTACTATCTAAAACTCTGCCCCCTGCAAAAGATTTTGCACAACGCAAGGCTTAGGGTAAACTGCAAACCACATGACGCTTAGGGCTTATCCAGACAAACAGCCAGGGGCAATCCTGCACTCCTCTGCCCGTGAGCTGGGCAGATGTGGGGCAGCTCTGACCCAGGGGCTGTGCAGATGTATCCCTGCTGCACCGCTGCCGGTACTGGTCCAGGGGGCTGCCCGCCCCTGCTCCAACAGGGAATTCCTTGGTTTTGCCAGCTGAGGTGCCTGGAGCTCATCTTCGGCTGCGCTGGACCAAAGCAGGAGCATCTGCAGTAGGTTGGAGTGCAAACCAGGCAAGAAGATTTCTTTTTTTTTTTTCCTCCAGTTATCAAACTTCTCTGGAGGACCTGACAATGAATCAAATTTGCAGTTTTGCAGAAATGCACAGAACATTTATTCAATTCAGCAGAAGTGTACAAATATTTCTGAAAGACAAAAAGGCACAAAACAGCTCTTGGTTTCTCACTGCCTAACACACCGATGTTTCCATGAACCTGAAAGCAGGAAGCTAGCTCACCCCTACATGGGAAAGCAGCAGAGTTTCAGAAGGGTTCTGTTAAAGCCTACTATTTTTCTCTTTTCTTTTCTTTTCTTTTCTTTTCTTTTATTTTATTTTATTTTTCCTTTTCTTTTCTTTTTTCTTTTCTTTTCTTTTGACCAGTGAGATGGTTTCATCTGGTAAATTTTAATGTGTAAGGGCACTTACTGCAATAAGGTACAGTTACAAAACAATAACAAACTGATTTACAGCATCTGCACAGAAACTGGCAGTAGTACCAAAATGATGATAAGCTTTGGGACATGAGCGAACACTTACAATTATGCAATTATTTTGAGACCATAAAAAACATCCTCTTCTGATCAGCTCCTGAGCCAGGGGATAAGGCAAATGACCCGATAGTTACCGGTACATAGCACATTTCAGCAAAGACTATGGCCATCATTCTTACATTGCTGTCTTCTCATGTTACATCACAACTGTTAGAAGCTTACTGATCCATACTCTGAAATCTCAAATAGCAGGCCCATCTCTCTTAGCTTGCCCTTTTAAAAAGAGGACTCAAGAGAAAATCAACACTAGCTTTCACAGCTCTTGGTGGCATCTTTACAATCCTAAAATGTTATGTCTCCCCTGCCACCCACTGCTTCTTGCAAAGCATTTGAAATCATGTCATAAATTACAGATTATAAAACAAAGGCTTTAAAATAACTTAATTGTTATATTTATCATGGGGGAAATCTTGCATTGAATATTAAATACTATCCTTAAAGCCATTTGGTCATACAGAGAGCAACTACAAACATTTAGAAAAGCAAACACAATTATATTTTCAAAGTGCTACTGAGATTAGAAAATGAGCCATCAGAGGTAAACGATCTTCTCCTCTACTCTGCCTCCACTTTCTGCATCCTGCAGGGTCTCAGGCTGGTTGTTCAGCAGCAGTGTGTCTACCCCTGACGGCTGGACGGACCCCTGGTTTGGGATGCTCATCTGGAGACCCTGGGTCTGTGATGCATTCAGATCTGTAATGCACAAGAGAGGACATGTGACAATGCATCTTCTGCCATGCCCGTGCCATCGTAAAGAGCAAATTCTGACTTTTGCATTAGCACTATTTTCTAGTTTGCGGCACCTGCCTAGAAAGTGCAATAGAAAAAATACACTGCTGTATTACAAATTATACTACAGCCTGGTGAGAGGTACCTTACCCAAATTTACTGAAATTCATTCAAGTCTGTCCACCATCATCCAAGGGATGATCACTGTCACTATTTTTACAATAAAAGAAATTTATATCCATATTTCACTAACCAGACATACAATAATGGACAGGTGTAAAGGCTGTCAGAGTTGGGCTGGAGGGAAACATACAGCACATAATTAATACCTTTATTTGTAATAATACAATTGTAAAATTAATACAGTTTCCATTATTATACAGAATTTTATTTGCAAGCCTTCCTTTTATGGATGAAAAAGAATCAACTGAGTAAAGCCAGTTAAAAGTCTACTTGACTGCCACTTTCAGTCTGTAATAGATGTGTAACCACTCAGCTTTTTCTGCCAACTTTATCTGTGTTTACCTGCACAAACTACCTACTCTATTCTTGTCTCAATCCTTTAGATGAGACGTGGAGATAATACTTGCACTCAAACACTAAGAAATTATTTCACAGGGATCTTAACTTGTTACCTTTCCCATTTTCTCCTGCAAATGCAGAGAATCATAGAATCACAGAATGGTTTGGGTTGGAAGGGACCATCTGGTTGCAACCACACTGCCATGGGCAGGGACACCTTCCACTAAACCAGATTGCTCAGAGCCCCATCCAGCCTGGCCTTCAACACTTTGAGGGAGTCAGGTACTTGTTTTCCAGCACTGACCTCTGAAGGTTTTTGTGATGATCTGTGCACTACTTTAAAAAAAAATAACCACAGCTGGGTTTTCTCCCTAGTCAGCTTTAAGTACTACTTCAGGCTCTCAGGAACTACACCTTAGTACTTGGCTTTTCTACTTCTGTATTCCGCAAAGCAATTTTTACCATAAAAACAAGCTGCACAACAAAGGAGTGTGTATCCTCATACCTAGGGATGAAAGAAGTCTGCAATGGACATGTTGCAATACTTTTCAGTGTAACCTTGGCCCGATCGACCTCTGCTATTACATCAGGAGGATTAACTTTTCGTTCTCTCCTCTGCAAAAAAGAACTCGGCAGGAAGAAGGGGAGTTCGGCACCCCTCCCACAGCATGGGTAACACCAGAAGCAAGCAAACCCAGCAGTGGGGGCTCTGAGCACCTGGGCCATTCATGCCGAGAGCTAAGAAGATATTTCATACCTGCTCCAGTCCCTACCCGTTCTCACATGTATGTGCAATGAAAACCTATGATATGCAATGAAAACCTGTGATAAAGGAGATTTGGGAGTTTTTACACACTGTGTCGGTTTAACTGGTGGCAATTTAAAATGACACCTGCCCACTTCTAGCATCCCCCCGAAAGCATGTGGCTTTCACCAGTCTTCCTCACTGAGGCAGGAGTTGAAGGCAAAGCAAGCTTGCTGGCACCCTGCAAAGCCTCAGCTCCCCGGCTGCTCCCCGCCACGGGGTGTGTGGAGCGGTGGGAGACGATTATGCGATGGGCATGTGGGAACACATCATATTGCTGCCTCTGCCTTCAGCATCTTCTCCTCTTTGATATTCACACAGCTGGGGGTAGCAAACAGGCTTTGGGGCTGCGGCTCCCAGCGTAAGCCACACGTATGCTATGCCTGCTGCTGAGACTGCAGGGTCGGTGGCAGGGGCAAGGTATTTATACACAAGCAGTGCTTCGTCATAGTGGGATGACACAGGATGTTAAGAAAATGAATCCCAAATTCCCTATCTTTCACTGTTTTACACAGGATTTAGAGGATCTCGTTTTGGTCTTGGTGAAAATCCAGAGTAAGTCTTGATTGCAGGTGAGTTATCTGCAATACATAACAGAGCAGGATTTGACTCCCTAACTTACTTAAAAAGCTCTGCTTTGTTGAAGATGACTTTTGCATTTACTTGTTTTTGATAGCCGTATTGGAAAAAGATTACAAATTGCAGCAAAAGAAGAAACCAGAAATATATTGCATCTGCTTTTCTTTATGGAAACTAGATACTTCAGTTTTATTTATGTATTAAAAAGAGCCCTACCAGTGAAAGGTCCTCAACCTCTACCTCAAAACACTTATATTTCAGGGTAATTTTACCCACATTAATATTCCTTTTAAGTCCTGTGAGTCTATTCACCTTAACAGAGTTATGTGCATAAGAATACCAGGCAGTAAGCACTTATTTGAAAGATGTGTTTCCAAAGTTTATGAAGTACATAATTGGAGAAGCCTAATTACAAATTTGAAAAAACCCAGAAAAGAAAGAGAAACACCTTACATGCAGTTATTTTCCACCATCAAAACTAAACAGTAATTGCTTCACCAATTAAAACAGTAGCTGTTTCCAAACCATTTCTCATTAACTGTTACAACTCTACGCAGCAGAGCTAAGCAGTGGAAACTGACAGCGCTCTAGAAAAACAAAGCAGATTCTGTCACTATCGAAATAAATGATTTATCACTAGTTTACCTGCCTTTTTATTCTTTTTTTTTTTCCCCCCTTTTAAATTATGTTGCATCCGCAGAGCCTGAAGAGCAGGAGAGCACCCAGGAGGTGAGAGCCCAGCTGCCACTGGGGTGACAAGTGGCTTCTCAGGCTGGAAAAGTTGTGCTTAATCCAACTGAGGAGGGAAGGGGCTGGTTTTGGCTGCGCTTCGGGTGGCACTCAACACAGGCTCTGCCTAATAAAAGCACAACATGTCCCTGGGCCGACATACTCAGCCTGCCAGTGGGGAGGGTGCCTGCTGTCTCCCTGCCTGGTGCCATGCTGGAAGCAGCCGAGCCAGGAGAGCAGCTGGTATTGCAGGCGGAGGTGCAGTGCGCCCCAAGAGCAGCTGCTCGGGGAGGGTGGAAGAGCTGCCAGAATTGGTAATAACAGCCTCAGGTGAAGGGAGAGTGGGGAAAGGGGACCAATCCAGTAGTCAGCACTGGTTCTTGTTACGCAGAACAGCAACAGCTGCCAAGAAGCCTCCCCCAAGCTCCCCAGTGCAGCATGGGGAAACTGGGCTGCCCTTGGCCCTAAGCAGGAGAACGGTGGGAACGGTGGGAGAAATCCTCCTCTTTAAATGCTCTCCCAAAACAGGGAAGAACCCTCCAGAACCAGCCTTGAGAGTATCAGCTGCTGCCTACTACAGAACTCAGGGAGCTGAGGATGGTAAAAAAAAAAAACAAAACCAAAAACACCCACACACAAAGGAGAACAAACCAATTATCTGTGTAGACAGCAAGGCAGAGCAGGGCTGGTGAAGGGGGCTACTACTAGAAAGCCATGGCCAAGAAGCTCTCCTGTGGTCTCCAGGTAGCCAGGGCACACACAGGAACCTCCCCATCCCCTCTCCAGGCCTGTCCTCTGCTGCACTAGGGCTGACAGTCAGAACTCAATATGGACCAAACGCCAGGTAAATAAGAACCATCAGCCTTTTACGAGCCTCCTTTGTTTTGACTCTAACTCACCTGCCAACACTGGCCACAAAATGAGTTTTGTATTATTCCCTTTCTTTAAATTCAGCATTCACTTATCCTTTCTTCTGCTCCCTTCCAACCTGCCGAGTGATGCTTGGCCGGGCTGTGTTCAGCTCAACAGCGCGCCCACCAGACCAGCACCCACATCACCAGCACCCAGCAAAAGTATGCTCACTGCCCCTGCCTGCACCCCTCCTGCCTGGGCAGGGCTCTGCCCACTGCACCCCTGGCACAGAAAGGACAAGCGAAGGTGACCGGACCAAGCCACAGCCTTCCTCTTGCTCACTGACACCTAAGGAACGCAATTTTTCCTTCATATTTGTATCAGTGCAGAAAACATTCCCAGATTTCCAAAGCTTTAACGAAGTTGAGCTGTGGCTCAGACCCTTCCCCGGAGTCTTCTGTGAGACTCCCAGGTCCCTGCTCCCTCCCACTTCTGCAGCGGCCAAGGGCTGTCAGCATCTCACTGCATCCCAGCCCCTGGAGCTTTTGTGCAAACTGAAACAGCCTTTAACTGCTTCTCAGTCATGCAAAATTTACTTCACCTACAACATTCCACGTAACTCTTTCCTGAAAAGCCATAGCCAGATCCTCGGCTGCACCATGTATACCCTACACAAAACTGAAGAGCACACCAGAAAAATCCACTCTTTCAAAGTTGGGCTAGTCAAACTCCCCAGCAAAGAGGCCTGAGGCTGGAGGCCAAGTCCTTGGTGATCTGTGACAGCACTTCAACATTTTGGAGCCCGTTCCAGGCTGGTCTGTTCAGCCCAGCAGTACCACACCACAGCAAAAAATACCACTTAATTTCTATCTCAGATGACAACATTTCATTAAATAAAGAAAACCGAGGCATTCCCTGTTGTCTCCCCCACCAATTTTCTCAAAAGGAGTCAGAGGCTGTTTCTACGAAATTCTGGGGAAAAATACCCACAAATTGTCTCACGCACATGGACACATACTGCCAAATTAAAAACAAATCCAGTTTTTCTGCCCTGTTTTCCGGGAGTTTAACTCCGATACCATGAGGACAGGTATCAGGAAACTGCAGAGAGACACTCTACTCCCCCAAAACAAAAATACTTTTCTAGACAACCTAAATATAACAATAACACCAACCTGCAGGCCTGTAGCACGTGGGACCAGCTTTCAGGGGAGTTTCTAAGGGGACTCCAGTTCTCCAAATGGGATCTGGGAAACGACAGCTCCTGGCTAAAAATATGCTAATGTTGTACAGGAAACAGGAAAAAAAAAAGTGGCATTCCGCATCCTAACTACGATAGCCTACCCTTCCTGTAGCACTAAGAGACAGCATTAGTGGCATCGAATAAGCTGCTTGAACGTGGAGGACAAAGCAGTGGCATTTGCAGGAATCTGAGATCAATACATACCAAAACAAACACAGCCCGTGTTCCTGGAGG